CAAGAAGGAAGTAGGAGCTAAAGCTCTCAGCTTGCAATATTGCCCATGCACCCAAGTCCAGTTCTCCAGGTCTAAACTATATACATACATATATATATATTCAAAGTTTACATCACTAACAATAGCTGAGCCCTTTCCTTTGCAGAGCCCTTCCCAATGCCCTCTCACCTTCTGCATATCAAAGCTGACATACAATATTCACCTACTTGCAGTGTGTCAGAGTGCTCGCAGTCAGGGATATGAGTCAAACTGCTGGTTTCAATACCCTACAAAGAGCTACAAAGGCAGAGTAAAACGAGGAATATCTAGTGCTGCAAAGCAAATCAGCTGGGGACTTTGCTAGAAGATCTGCAGAAATCTCGTTGCTGTGTGCCGCGCGGAGTGGTGCTCGCCCATTAACCTCTGCGTGCTGTACATTACAGGCTGCACTTTATATCCTAAATACATAAACTCCAGTAACCTGACGATACAGTGACCCTCTTCTGGCTTCAGCATAGTACTTCCCTCTGCTCACCTTGGCTGGCACAGAGGGAGCCTGAGCAAACCCAGCAGCGGGGATAAGCGAAGGCAACGTAATCTCACTGCGTATGCAATGGCTGGAGGAGAGCAGCTGGCTCAGCTGCCGGCATCCACTTCACACCGGGACCAAGGCTGGCCTGGGGAATATGAAAGCTTTAACAGTTGGTTCTTGTTCACTTCCACGTGTCATTTAAGATGGCACAAAGTCCTGCAATGGCCTTGTATATTAAAAAGAGGAGAATAAGCCTCTTCCTTGCACAACGACAGCTTTTCAAGGTCTCTGTGTCCTTCCAGCAGCAAGGCAGGTCACAGCATGACTGAAGATCTCAGGCACCTTTTCCATAAGATATTTATGTTGTTTTAAACTGAAGTGGGTATGAACAGAACCCACAAGTGCAGTGTAAGCCTTCCCTCTGCCCTGCAGGAGCTGTGAATTATGAACGCCAGCGCATGAAATTTCTCTGGGCTATAAATTTTTACTGCTCAGAAGGTCTAGGAACAAGCCCCAGCTAAAGCCCAGGTTTCAGGAGATGAGGCTGCTCCCGCCAGGCTGCTCAGCAGAGAGGGGCCAACACCCCCGTTTCCTTCTTTTCCCCTTAATAATCAGTGCATGGCAGCTTGAGCTAAATTAAGCAGCGCCGGGAGGTAAAAAATAGCATCAGGAGCTAATTAAAACTCTTCTGCCTTCCCCGTGTTGGTGGTGGGGAGAGGCGAGCCACGGGTACCTGCGCTGTGGAGGCGGGGGGGCGGTCTCTCCCCCCGCCGCCGCAACTCTTCTCACCAGCGCTGGAAGCTAGAGTGTTTTTATGAACACTTTCACTGTGATAAATGAGAGAAAGCAAGAAATCCCCCGAGTGCCGTTGGCGTCTCTGAACGCCGAAGGCTGCAGACAAGCAGCATGTTGGGCAGGCTGCATGCGCCAGCCACGGCCACCGAGACCGCCGTCCCCTCGACGTGATTAAGCATGATTGCTAGCACAAAGCAGACACCTTGTTATCCAGGAGATTGCATTCCCCCTTCCCCGCTTAGAAACCAGCTTTTCCACAAAGCCTCCGAGTACTGAAACGATGGCATAAAGAAAGTGGAGAAGGGCTGTATCATCCACACCTCAGGCAAACATCTTAATAACCCAAGTGCCATTTGTGGCTGCCATTAAACCCAGTTACCAAACACAACGGCTGCTCCAGCCGGCTTTGCTTAAGCGGTTTGGGACACAGCTCCTCAGATGACGGTGGTGGTGTCTTTGTGCACAAGCTCTCCAGGTCTCATGCTGAGCAGCAGCAGAAGTTTGGTCCCATCTTCACATATGAAAGGTCTTTGCTTTGTGTAGCTTGTTGGATTTAATAGTCAGATTATGTGATCTTAAAGTATATAATAAGCATTTACAAATCATCGGAGATACTAAACTTTCTATTGCCCTGATTTTAGCAAGATTCATTGCCATTTCCAGGATTTAACTGTAAGTGTCCCAGCAGACAGGGTAGGAAAAACCATGCAGGGCATGGAGCAGCCTGAGACCAGGCACAGGCGGCATGACCCAGTCGGAGGAGCACAGCTCGGTACCAAGCCCCGTGTGGCCTTGGGAGGACATTGGCTGCCTGCCCTGCTCGGCACGGGGAAGCACAGCCGCGTCCTGGGAAAGTCTGCGGGAACAGGCAGGGAATAGACTCGGTCTCACTCTTTCTCCATCCTTCCCCTAGGCCAGCACCCATTACCAGGTGAAACCTGGTCTGACTGTGTGTAGCTGGTCTTTACCTACACCCCTCTCCTAGTCACACCATCCCTTTATATCATCATGCACTTGTCCCTGCGGCACCCACCCAGCAGTCCCTCTCCTACCACCTATATAATTACCTGATGTTTTCTTCCCCATGCGATCTGTAAGATATTTTACAGTAAGAACGGTA